TACCAAGGAAATCTTGTTAAGTGGATCTAGGGAATGATCTACTGTTCCCAGAGTATGAAAGAGGAAGGGAGTACAAAGCAATTTAAACTGACGAGATAGAATCTTTCTTCCCTCCTTCCCCTTTTTTTTTTCTTCTTGCAGAGAAAATTGATTTCATGCTGTTTAATACCAGATTAAATTGAAATACTGTATCATTACTCTATTGTCCAGTATTATAAGAAGCCTCTTATTCATGCATTATGCTTACTATTTTGCACAAACTACTAGGACAGTGTCCATCAAAGGAGGAGCAGAGTTAATTAAACAGCAGCAGATCAAGAAATGAAGAAATTGGGTGAATTGAATTGAGCTTTTTAGGATCATCCCTATTGGGCAGTCCAGCCTTCAGCATTTGTAGGGTATTTTAACATGCCTTTTCTATGCACACGTACCTTTGGATTTAGTTTACTTTTTCCATTTGTTTCATTTACTTTGTTTTTCTTGCAAAGGGAAGGCTGTTCTTCCAGAATTGCCACATGGCGTGGTTACAGATGATCCTAAGTAGCTTATGGATAACATGTATGGATAACATGTATGTATTGAGTATTTTTGAGGTTGAATATCTATCAGTGAGGAGCTGATCCTGAGTATCAGTCTTTGTCAGCCATGGAGAAAAGAAACCCATATCAGTAGCTTTAGAAATAAGAAAAGTGCATGTTTCCCTACTATGAGAACTCCACAAATTCAACAGTTAGTTGTATGATAAAAGAACTTAATAATGTTCGCTGACTTTCACAGGCCTTTACTTTACAAAGGTGTTGCTTAACAGAAATAAGCAGCTATTGCATGAAGGAACTAGAATCTTGAACAAGATCAAAATGGCTGCCATAAAGAGTAGAAGCAAATACGGATTTTTTTCATGAAAGCAAAAAACTACTCTGGAATGCCTCAGGAGCTTTTAACAGTGTTACCATTAATGTGTATTAACTTTATGGATGAGAAAAGTGGTTGCAAACAGGCATTAAAACCTGTGGAGGGGAGGAAAAAAAAAGGGGGGGGAAGTTCAAATACGTCATCTCCTGAAATGAAGAAGGACTTGTTCAGACCAGGAAGTCTGAATAGTGGGGACAATATTCATCATTGACATAAGTTAATATCGGCCATGTTGGAAGGACTGGCAGATGGATGAGTACCTCATGGAGCTGTTTGTAGTTTATACTTAAAAATAAATAAACAAACTGTGTTTCTGCAATATATGAAGATGTTCTTGGAGTGTCATAGTCACTTTTGTTGCCACACAGTATCAGATTCAAAGTAAAGCCCCAAAAAGTATTTAATTGTTGATATATAGTATTTTTTAGTGTATTTTCATCTGTTTTATTTATTTCATACATTAAAAGTTGTTTTCTTGGAGTTCATGTTAACAGTAAGTGTACTTTAAAACTATTGTCTAATAGGTAAGTTTAGTATTATTACCTGAAAGTGATGGTGGTTCTGCTCAGATGATTATTGATTTATTAATGTGTTGCTGTAATAATAGCATAAATATTTATCACTAATTAAATATTTATGATACATTAAACATGATTAACCATTAATGATAAAATAGATAAATAACATGTATTCTAGATATGTAATTTTGAAACTTTCTTTTGAAAAATCAAAGAATTTGAAAACCTGTACATAGCCTGAATTTTCTTCTCACTTGTATTCTGTATTCTTTTACAGTTTTTTGCATTTGCAGAGTGCAAAAAGATGCACTGCAATGAGAATATGGAGTGTATATTTCATATTTTGTATGTGAAGTTTTCCTTACAGGCTTTTCACTCCTTGTGTATCTTCTGAAGAAAGCGTAATTACTACAGCATTTCTAACGATAAAAATGGGACAGTGGAGACTCTGTTAAGGTTTCATGAGTTACCTCACTTGCTATGTTTCTTTGGCTTTTATTTAAGGGCATTGGGTGTTTCAGTGACAGACTATACGTTTGAAGACTGTCAGCTGGCTTTGGCAGAAGGACAACTTCGTCTGCCTTCAGACACATGCCTCTTAGAATTTGCAAAGCTCGTGAGAAGCCTTGGGTGAGCATATGCAGTATCTATATTCATCTATACTATACAACTGTATACTGTAGAACTGTGTGTATGTTGTTTTGCCTTATTAAAAAAAAAAACTGCTTTTGTGTATGCAAGCAGAATGCTATCATGTTACAACAGAGGAACACTAACAAAGTTAAGCCAGTACTGTACTAGAGACAAATATTTCATGCCCAGTTTCAGAGGTGAAGAGAATTTACTTGGGCTAGTAGAAGAAAAACAATCCTAAATCATTTCAGAATTATTTCCTAACTGTTTTTCCTCCTGTGCTGGTGGGAAATCAAGACATCTCCTGAAAGGGTAAGGAAAGGGATGGAAGTCCTTTTTTGGTTATCTGAACAGGAAAACTTTGTAATTATTCACTTCTATATACTTGAGAGGTCTCTGAGCTTTTTCCCCCAGCTGGGAAGCTGTCTTGTGCATAAGCAGGGGTTCTGGTTCTTTTCAGGCCTTAAGATGAGAAGAGAAGCACATGTCTGGGAAGCAACTTTTCTACATTGTAAGAAAAATGCGTTTTTTTCCACTTGCAGGCAGCACTCCTACTTCCTAATAAGTAGAGTAGGTTGTAAAATTCACTTCATTATGGTCTGACGACTTAGCAGGATACCTTTGAAGCATTTGTTCCCAAATGAGAAATTTTAAGTAGAAAATATCTCGTAAAGAGGGCCAGGAATGCTGTTGGGCTCTTAATATTTCATGCAGCCAGTTGACCCTTCCCGCTATCATCTGTTAAGGGAGAACAGTGATGCCCAGTTCCATGGCTGGGGTAATGCTGCAGTAGTGAAGGAAGCTGGAAATCCTTTTTCCAGAAAGTACAAAGAAATGGTTTATCTTTGAAGTGGGTTACTGCTAAATGTGCTTTCTAATGAAACTGAAGCATAGTTTAAGCAGTGTGGCTCATCTGTCTTCTTCTGGCATTTGTCTCTGGTTCTGCCTTTTAGAAAAGTTTCACCAAACAGTGAAGGAATTCACGTAAACTGTTGAGCTTGTTGCTGTTTTCCAGCTGTTCTGTGTTTCTCTTCTCACCCAATCAAGCAGCTGCAAACACATCTTATAACTTCAACCTTTTAATTGCTTAGATATAAACAACAGCTTGTCTTCACTCTTTTCTCCTTGCCAGAAACCTATAGCACATAGTTTCATGTTTCCATTCCGCAATTTAATTCTTACCTATCACTAATTTTTTTCATCTTCCAACTTGTGCACATCAATACATCTTTATTTAATAATGACTGCAGCATAAAAAGAAAGGGTGACCTGCATATATTACTTTATTTGTAATGACCTTTGTCTGAAAAGGCTTCCAGTAGGATAGAAGAGACTTCTAAGGGGAATCAAAAAGGTTCTTTGCTTTGTCCCAAAGACTGTACTCAACAGGAGAAGAAAAAAAGAAGAAAAAGAAAAAAGAAGGGAAAAAAAAAAAAACGCTACAAAGAAACCTTCTTGTGTAGTTGATAATCCTGGGATTGAGTTTGATCTTCTTGTAATATGGACTGGCTTTGCTGTTCAACTTACAACTGTTCTCTCAAATTATATTTTTCTGGACTCTTTATTTTGTCAAAGGCATGTAAAATAATTATGTGAATTATGTGCATTTGTGTGAGTGAGATTCGCCACACCTCAGAAGCTCTGTCTGGATTGAGCAGTTGTGCATTTAGTGAATTATCCAGTCTCGATCTGAGTATGCGCCACTAGGAAGACTCCTACCATGGTTATTTTTTCTGATACAATTTGATGGAATTTAATGGGGCTGAATCTCCAGCAAGCATATGATTGAGGTGCAGTCATTTTGAGGTTGGGGAAGCATTCTGATCGTCCAGTTGCATGAATATCTGAATAATTTAAATATTCAGCCGTGATTAGTTTGTTTGGGGTTTTTTTGTTTGTTTTGTTTTGGTTTTTTTGCAGACAGTCCTTACGCTTGTTTTTTAGCAAGAACATGCTTTCTTGGAAACACTCAGTTTTAAATTCAAGATTTGTCAAGTAAGGCAAATCCAATTTCATTTTTGTTACAAATTACTTGAAATCATGTACAACCTGTGCTACAGAGCAGAGTCATTTAGTTCATGTGATATATCTGTAGGACTCATCAACAGTGTCTGTAAAATCTGCACAGTCTGTGCTCGAGTTAGCTGGGTGGGAGCCAGCCCCAATCCAGCAGCTATGCACAAGCAGTAGTGCAGTCCCCTGCTTCATCTCAGGGGCCCGTAAGAGCATTAGTCTGGGCTCTGTGCTAACACAGCTATGCTGTGTTTCTAGGTCACAGCTGGCTGATACTCAGCTGGCTTGTGTGCAACCCCATGGTGATATAACTGGTTGTACAGATGAGATCTTATAGCCTGACCACCTCAAACTTCGTGTTCGTTATTTCTCAAGCAATTAAACTTCTGTTGAACCTGATAAGGTATGACTAATGGACTGTTTTGTGATGATGATAATGAATCTTTATTGAAAGTTGCTGAAGTGATGAGTGCTCTATTTGGAGAGTTATTTCCACAATTAAATACCCCACTGTTTAAAGTGATTCCCCATTTGTACTTTGTATATATGTCATGTTCAGCATGTTGAAGCTTATTGAGGCTTCGTGACTGCTTAAAGTGCTCTTCAGATATTTCCTCACTATGAAAGTGTTAATACATTGCAATTAAAGCACACATCTCTGAGATTTTTTTTCTGAGCTGCTTAAGTGTGTCTTTGCAGACTTTGAAGTTCTGATATGATTTGTCCCTGTAACTTCAAATTTCTGTTTATTCTACTTCTTGCGCTCACTTTGCCCAAGAGCTGCGGTGACTCTTTAGTTGTTGCTCCACTTTCTTACAGAAGCGTGATTTATGGGCCATCAGTGTCTTCTCGGAGAATGCTCAACTTTCATTCAAATGACTTATATTTCTTTCTGATTAGCCTCAGGTGTAATTTTATCTTCTGAAAGTATTAGATATCTATGCTATTAGTTATCTATTTTTTTAAGGAAATACAATGCACATTGCAACCCTAACTTAGTAGAACATTCTTCTACCCCCTCAATGTCTCACTTGGCCATCTTCTACTTGCTTTCTGTTTACTTTTGATTTCACTAATGGACATGCATCACTTAATTACTATGCTTTGATTGCTCTTAGACAAATATTAAAATTGGTCTTGATGTAGCCTGAAATTTTGCTCAAGTAATTTGTGATAGGCCTTTTGCATTGTTTAAAATGTACTGGTAACCTACTAAGGATAATCAATTTGTTATCCCTTGTTTGATTTTCTTTTCCCCCCCACCTCCCCAGAAATCTCTTCCAGTTATTTTTGCTTTCTCTCTGCCCTTCAATTTGTTAACATTTAGTACTTCATTATTTACCTGATTAGTTCTTGATTTTTTTTTTATTTTATGTTATTTATTTTTTTAATCTTACACCATGGTTATGATGGTGCTAGAAGTGCCATGGTACTTCTAGCAAGGATAGGTTTCCTTTGTTTTAGTTGTCTTTATTTTCTGCTCCCTGATTTTTTGTTTTGTTTTTAATTAAGTGTTTTGTTTCTCACTTGGATGCCAGCACTAGTACTTGTAGTTCAGGGTGTCATGTTTTCTATTCTAGTACAACAGTTAACTTCACTTTGTGCATCAGAAAGCAATGTATTAAGTACTACAAGAAAATAATATGGTGTTGTGGTACAAGCGTGCATGTACCATGTATCATTGAGATGATGGAGCACTGATTTGATCCTCCTGTCTTGACCAGTTGTGGTACCTTTCCCTTGCAGATTTTGAGGTTCTTTTTGTGTCTCATTGAAGATACAATAGCTGGTGCTTATGTCTATCTTTAAAATGGTTTAGTTAACACTGCATCTTTTTCAGGTCAGATTGCCCTCATGTTAGTTTTCATAATAGCCTTATTCTGATTTAGATGAGTAATTTTTGTTTTTAATGATGGGCAGTGATTTCTTTTAAGAATTCTCTCTGCATCCTTAGCAGTCACATTTGCTTTCCTGGAGTCAGATATTGCCGCCCACTTGGATCCACATGATGAGTACTGAAAATGTCTGGTGCACTGAACGATTGTCTGTCTCCCAGAAGAATGTTCTTCAGCCTTAGAAATCCTAAAAGGTTTACCTTCTTATGCACCCATTGGCCCTGGTGTTAGTAAGCATACCTATTTTGGGATCTGAATCTTCTGATCCTTTAAAAAGTGTAATGCTGAGGAAAGAATGAACTAAATGAAGTAGCACTTCAATTCTCATCATCAGTCAAGAATATTACTTCAGCCAGTTGGCTGCAAGGCTTCTACTTAGCTATGCCAGTGTGTTTGTATGGTGGCTCCTAAGAGCCACAAGCAGGAGAATTTCCCCACAGGCTTTGTGCCCTTTCTGCTTTTGGTCAGCAGTCTTTACCATCCAGACTACTATGCAAGCATACGCTGTCCATTTCTGCTTGAAGCTGTGGTCCAGACTGTAGGTAAAGCTTGGCATCCCTGCTGTAGTAACTAATCCTACCTAACCGATGCTGAGATGACTTCAGAGTGTGCCAAGATCTTTCATACAAGAAAATACCTCTGGAGACTGTTCTCCATTTGCATTCATGCTGAAAGCAATGCTGTCCATTACAGACCATGGATCTAGCTCAGTATAGCAAATGCCAGCCACAACCCTTCGCTCATACAAAAGGGGCAAGGTATGCCAGGGTGTTCAGAAGATCTATTTTGCAGCTGCTTAGTGTTCAGTCTCCCTTATGGTAAGAAGTCATGCAGAACATCAGTCGACACCAACTCAAATGTATTGTACTTGTTTGACTTATGGCATATGTCTTTGTGAGCTTGCAATTTATGATAGTTAGATGCAAGATCCAGATGTTCACATGCGTTTTTCACCTCTGAGAGATACTAGGCATGCTGGCAGGTGCCCAACATGTAAGAAAGGAGTTTCTTTTAAAAAAGTCAAATGTAGCTAAAACATGTTTAAAATGTCTTTCTTGCTAATGATTGTGGTTGATAATGGAGAAAATTCCCCTTTAGGAATCTGGGTGAAGTCTGCTGTGAGGGAGTTAATGTTCAGGGCTGTTCATGGTGTGAAAAGGCATCCTTTCCATCTCCAGGGATTTTTTTTTTTTTTTTTGAGTGGAAATCCCGTCAAGTCCCAATGCCACTCGTGAAATGAACACTCATGCTGTTCCAGGTGGATTTTTGAGTCATTTCATTCCAAATCAAATTCTCCAGTTCAGAGGGACAGATGTTAGTTTGTATATTCTGTGTCACTGATGGCTTATCTGAAGAGAGGATTCAGAAGCCAGCTGTTCTTACCCTACGGTTAGAATTCATTTCTGCTATTAAAATGAGGATGTATATTCACTGACTAGGATTAGTGGATTGTTCTTATGTAACGCCACATGGTAGCAGCAGTTGTGTGTGCATCTCGGACTCCCTACAGATTCCTTTGTTGCTGTTTCTGTTACTCTTCTGTTAGAGCTGGGTAAGCATACCTGCAGAGGAGATACCCCTCCTAAAGTTGGAGGCTTAAAATGGATGATAGATGCCTTACAGTTGAGATGGAGAACACATATCAATGTTTTCCAGAGCCTCTGGAAGAATAGGTGCATGTTCAGGTCTTAAAATTTGGAAATACATGGTATGGAGTTGCTTCGTGTGTTATAGAAGAGAATTGTTGATGATCTTAGGGAGCTTCATACTGAAAAGTTTGGATGCCTCATGACCTTAAACCAGTTCAGAGCAAATCTGCAGATCAAGATTTGGTGGATGCCACAGTGGGGAGAGAACTTTTTCACTGCAAACCTTCAGCACATCAAGAAATTAAGATAATAAAGTTATTTTTGTGATGCATAAAACAAGAAAAAGCTTGTCTTGGCAAGAAATAAACTTGTTCAGCATAGTATCTCCTATAATGTAAAGATATGTTTACACACCAGTCAAAATCTGGTTTTGCAATAAGAGTGGCGTATCTTATGCACCTATACTTGCTATTGAAGCCTTGTTTGATAGGCAGCCCCATGATAGTGTCCAACTCTGAACAGAATGCAAAAAGCAAGGACTAACAAACAGGATTAGCCGAGTAATCACTATTATGTCACCCCTGACTTTTTAGGCAAAGTGCATCAGGTCTTTCCTGTTCAGTGCCATTAGTAAATTTGGAATCAGTAATTGGTTTATGCTACCATCCTATAATAACACCATATTCAGGTGACCTAAATCCCACCTAGTTTCCTTTACCTACTGTTCCCTATTAGCTAGCTTTAGACTGATGTTTCTTGTATGCTTTGAACTTCTTATACATGCGGCTTATAATCAAAGTAGAATATAAGACATGAGTTTGTGACCAGGATTCCTAAATCCTATAATAATTTCTAACATAATTCAGTAATTAAAGGAAGGCTTAAAAATACCAGGGACCATTTTTATGAAAAAAGTCTCTTAGTAATTCTTATCCTGAATTTCTAACACTTCTACCGTTCATTGTCTCATTCAGTGCTTCTGTTTTAAAAGTAAGTTTATATTTTAAATGTGCAAAAATAATGTGCTTTTTAGGCTGAAACCAGAAAACCTTGAAGAAGATCTTGAGAAATATGCTAAACGTGCTATGAAAATGAAAAAAGAAAAGACTGATCTTGAAGAATTTTCAGCATACTTAGAATTTCCAATTTCTTCCACATTAGAAAGTATGTTTGCCCTTTTTGATGAGGTAAGAAACAATAACATTTTAAAAACTTTATTATTTGTGATAAACTTTAACCTAATTTTGTTCTCACTGAGATTCAATTTGACCATGTTAGGTGCTTTTTGAGAATCTCACTCTAGGTTTTACTTCACTTTCAACAAAATAAGACTAAATTTGGTTGATATTGTCAAATAAATAAAGCAGACTTTCATGTAGAAAGTAAAAAAAATAAAATAAAATCAGTTGGACAAACCTTTTTGAAGGCTTGTTGCAACTGGATGCATGATCTATTGGGCAATGTTTCCCTTACCTTGTAAATAAATCATTTGTCCTTCTAGGATTGCCTGAAATCTTGCCGAACTCAGGAGCTAAGCTCATGAGCCAGTTCTTCATTCTTTTGGCAATGAGCAAGATGGGGAAATAACATCTCATCCAAAGATAGTGGGCATTTATACCAGGAGATTAGATTATGTCCACAATATTCTCCTCTTAAGTCGGAGAGTAATTGTGATGTATTCAAGGCTTAATTTAAGCTAGCTTTGTTATTGGACTGTCTACCTTCAATTTTAACTTGATGGTTTGGATTTCTTTACATGAAGCTTCAAAAATGCAAGGATAAGCAAAAGCGGCAGTGTCTCCAAGGAATGTTAGGAACATAACTTCTGGGATTTTGGAAGGAGTCTATGAAGGCTTTACTATCTCTGTTCTTGCATTGGTCTGAGTGCAGACCTCATGATCTCTCTCAGGCACCTTTATTGCAAATGTGTGTGTAAAGATTTTGTATATTCTACATCTGCAGCAGCTGTTAAGTATCAAAATTCTGAGACAAGCCGCAGTGTTTTGAGGTGTGGTTTTCATTTGCAGAATGAACATGGCATAATTGACGTACGAGAATTTGTCATTGCTCTGTCAGTTGTCTGTAAACCATCCAAAACTCTGGAAACAATTCAGCTGGCATTTCAGGTAAGCAGCATTTTCTTCCTCTATGTGGTTTTCATGCTTAGTTTTTAGAAATGATGCTATTGGATTTAGAGTCTTGTTCACGTGCTCCTTTGATACTTGCATTTAAATATACATATCAATGGAAAACTGGATTGGGGATCTCCTTCAGAGAGAGTTTGGGAGTTTGGAGAACCTCTGTGGAGCTCAGCTAGGATCTTTAGCAGCATGCTCAGTTTCAGAACTGCAGTCCTTTGTACTGACTGCTGCAGCCTAAACGTTAATGGGTTCTGCTTATTGCTGTTCATAAGCTACTTCGGTTGAATTGTTTTTGTTTGTTTTTCCAGGTTAGTGACATTTTTCAAAACATGCATTTTTATATGCTTGTAGATATTTATGTACATTGTACATTTGTACATGTTTGTTTGCATTTTCTTTCCTACCTTCATTTTCTTAGTAAAATTGCTTTAGTTCTCTGTCTAGACTTGCTACTTTCCAGAAATGCTCTGGATTATTTTCCAGTGCTAGTATTTTGTTGGAGCATGAGCACAGATGGCAAGCAAGGCTCTTTGGGAAACTGGCAGCAGCAATACTGAACATTTGCTATGGCAGTGGATTTGTCTGACACCTTGCTTTGTTACTTCTGACTCATTTCCTTAATACTGCTATTTCAGCACATCTTGTGTCAGTCTTTTCCCTTTCTCTTGGACTCTGTCTTGCGCCTCCTATGTTTCTGAGACGGGAGAGTGCAAACACTTGGTGCAGGCACCACTAGTGGATGAGGGCGTTGAGAGCTTTCCCTTGCATAGTACATGGCAACCTTATTTTCTGAGTGTGGTTGTGGGGGGTGTGTTTTCTGTTTTGTTTTGTTTTTCCTTACCTTTGTTTTCCTCAAGAAATAAGTAATCTCTAAATGTTTAGTGTTTCCTTCAACCATTCACACTCAGACAAATGTGATTTAGGAGAAACTGACAGACATTTAGTTCCTCCTTTATTTCATTTTATTTATTAGACTAAAATTATTACTGTTTATTGTAAGGGAAAAGCAGAGAGGTCTCTGCCCTTGCTTACTGGGGAAGCATGGGGAAATGGTCACATGCTGTCTGGCCAGCTCTGTTCACCATAAAATGAAGACAGCTAAAGTCAGCTTGAATGTAGCTTTTGGGAAGTATTTCAAAGAAATTTTGGCTGTGATGATGCATTATACTCTTACTATGTAAGAGAAAGATTTCAGGCTGAGTGATATTTATTTTGGAAGCACCTAATTTAAATTTAATAGAAAAACTTTTTTTTTGCAAGATTTGTTGTTTTTCAGTACCTGCTGTAAACTTGGGAACTCATCATGCATAAACTGAGTTCCCAGGTTAATTGCAGAGCAGACAGAACTGTAGAACTGACAGTACTGACAGAACTGAAAAGACAATGTGCATTAAGATAGGGAGACATTCAGCAAGAGGGCATGGCTTATAGTTTATCCTGCTCGTGATGATCAGAAGGATTAAAAAAAGTCTTGAGCTGAGATAGTTTTGCTGACAGTACTTGAGGAAAAAAGAAAAAGGAATAAAACACATGAAGTATGTGTGTCAGATTTTTTCTTTTCCTCCTTTTCCCTCTTCCTCCCTTTTCCAGAATCATGTACATTAAAATCTTTCCAGATACTGAAAGACCTGGCCGGTTCATGAAAGTGTGACTTTGAATAGCTGCTGTTTTTGGATATACGTTCCTTTGCGCAAAGCACCTTGCTTCTATGGATCAAGTACAGCATTTCTCATCATTGAACAAGTGCTCCAGATGGAAGTTTTTTAGTATGTTAATGCAGAACTTGAAAAAGAACGCTGGTGGAAAGCTGGACAATTAGTAGTAGAAAAAAGGATTATGATAATAAATCCCAAGAGCAGCACTCTAGTATAAGTGCCAGATGTCCTCTCTTTCTGCTTGCTAACGATCTGAAAGGGTGCTGTGAATCTTGACGGTGTGATGTTTGTGAACCTTTTCATCAAATATCACCCTCTGACTACCTGATGTGTGAAAACGTGGCATGGTTTATTAAATTGATATCTTGCCCTTGCCCTAATGCTTTGTGAAACTGAGTACTGCAGCCAGCTGCTAAAGAGGAAAACACCAGAGTCCTGTTCTAACCAAGACCGGTTGTTTTATGGACCTTTAATGCTCTTCACACTGTTGAGGCATGTGCTCCTGTGGCAGCAGCTTCTGCTGTGTGAAAATACTTCCTTGTATGCCTGGTCTGTTTATCCTCACTATTTCTCATGTTTTTATTGAGAAACTAAATTTCTGAGTTTCTAGAAGCTTGCTATATTTCAATATTTGCAGTGCTGTCTTGACAAAAACTAGACAAGGGTGTTTCAAAAACTCTTCTGTGTCAGTTTTTATTGAAGAGGTAAAATGAATTATTCAAGTTTTATCAAGTCTTCCTGCAGATATTTTTAAATACTGAGGTCTTTTTTTTCCGAGAGAACACGTTTTATGTATTCCAAGATAGAATGAGACTATGAACAATTATATTTAGTTATCAGCTTCCTTTAAGTAGTAAAGCTAACTTTTTATCTGTGAGAAACTGCTTCAGGACTTAGTAGAGGAGGATGCAAGTTATTTTTTAGAGCACTGAAGAATTATTGGCAGAAGTTTGCAGGATCCTTGAATTTCACTGTTTGGGGTAGCAGTCATCTGATTAAGACAACTAAATTTAGATGAAGGCATTTTTTTTTTGTGAGGGAAAAAGATATGGCATCTAATCTTTCAAATATTGGAGCAAATGGAAGAGGTATCTGCACTAAGCCAACTTAAGTTTCCTGATTCCACAGGTTCCTTGGGATTGCAGACATCTAGTGCGATGGACGCTATACTTGTTCTCAGTTACGTGCCTGGAAAAAGATGCTAACCAATTTTGTTATCTTTTAAATAGTTTCTGGTGTAGAGGTATGCAGCATAGGTTTTTCTGGTTATAGCAAGCTTTATCTTCTAAGCATACACACACCAATCATAATTTCATCAATGCTCACTTTTATTCAGACTATTCAGAAGTACTTAATACACATTCATTAATCTGAGACCAGCTAGTATTTCCAAAACCAAATCTTACTTGCAGAACCTCTTAATATGTCATTGTTTATGTTCAGTTTTGTTTATTAATGTTCAGCTATGTAATACTTACCTTGCTGTGGTGTTTCACAGCTCTACCAGTCGGAAAAAGGAACTATACTAGAAGAGGATTTAGCTCATATTCTGAAGACTGCCATGGGGGTGTCACAGATCAATGTAACGCACCTTTTTAGAGCAGTAGATGAAGAAGAAAAGGGGGAGATCACATATGGTGAGTATTTCTGGTGGATTTGAAGTGTCACAAGTGTCAGTTCTCTTTGGCAGTACTCTGTTAGCTTAACTCCTCAGGTGCACCTTGTTGCCAAAGCTGACACAAGAATGTCTGTAAGATGGCCAGTGTCAGTACGTTTCTGCAGTCGTGCTGCAGGTGCGCATCGTACATTATCAGAAATTCTGCCCATCTTGGAGAGCTAAATAACAATTATGCAAGTGCTCTGAAGAGCCTGACTGACAACAAGAAGGGAAAGCAATCTTTATCTGTGTAGATATTCGTAGATAAACACTTGTAAGGGGAAACTTATTGGTATCTAGGGTATTCTGTCTGTATTCCCTACCCATCTATTCTATTTTCTGGGAGGTCCTGCACACTGAAGTGATCAAGTAGCTCAAGGAAGGTGTGGGGGAAGTAGAGGAGATTCATGAACTTAGTTTCCACCCAGAGCATCGACTAGTGGGGTATGCAAGAATGTCATGCAAGTGTTGGGATTGCAGGAGGAAAACATTTGATCTGAGATTCTTGTAGTGCATGCGCAGCTTAATGCATTTCTAAAATAATTCAACTGTGGGCCCTTTGTCACCCTTTTTGCCTCTTCCCCCTTGGTAAGCAGAAGAAAGCAAAATTACTTTTTCTGTTCATCTGAAAGATATCTCTTCCTCTCAAGTATAATGCTTCATGGTCGTCTTAAGCTTGAGCACCAAGATGAGAACTGTAATTAGGAGCGTTACTGGAACAGCTTGTTCTTTGTAAATCATCTTGTCCTGTTTTTCTGAGGACGTGGCAAATCCCATCCATCTTTTTCTGGGCTGTGCTCTGAAACATTTTCATAAAGGATTATTCCTTTGTATCTTTAGGACTTGTTTCAGTAAGAGCAAAAAGGCATGCTTAAATCTCTCAGAAACATTATCCTGTTTGGCTCAGTCCTTCCTGGAATCTGAGCTTTTCATTTGTATCCAATACTGAAAAGATGAAGGTGATGAAAAGAATGTCAGAATGTAGGTTAGGATATGTATTGTCATATTTGTGTGGAAAAATGGCTCAAAAGGATGTTATACATTTGTCTTCTGAAAAGATATAGGAACCTTTTGAAGAATTATTTGGAATGACATCTACAGCAAAATTCCGAGTGTTTTCCATTAGGCTTATTACTAATGTTTATATGTTGAATTTTTATAATTCTCTTCAGTGGGCTAAACTCCCTGCCTAAAAAAAGAGTGGGGTTTCTTGTTTGTTTGTTTTTGTGGTTGTTAATAGAATCAACAGCACTGCACATGCTATTTAGGAAGAGGAGTAGATTCCTGGGACTGGCTTCAAACTTTCCTGCAAGAAAAGGAAGTGTTTAAAAAAAGCTGCAGACTAGAACCACGTGAGGCTGATAGGTCATTGCTTATTTGCTGCAGCATCACAGTGTCCTCAGTCATGTTAGTTGAATGTGTTTTAAGTGTTTTGTTTCTGATTAATTAGTTTGCACCTAAATGTTTCAATATTATTAATACACTATTATCGTAACTCCTACCACTGTAAAAATAATTGTTTTACAGTTCCTCCTTGAAAATGATCAGAGTATTTGACTCTTTGGTACAAGATTATATTATAGAATATATTGAATTTGCATGAAAAATGCTGACAAATGATTTTTTTTGTGCATGTATTTGCATTTTAGGACATATTTAAGATCCTGTGCCACGTGCTCTAGGTGTCCCTGCTTGAGCAAGGGGGTTTAACTAGATCTCTAGAGGTCCCTTCCAACCTCAACCATTCTGTTATTCTGTGATTTTTGTGATTTCCAGCTTTTTGGTTTAAGATACCGAATTCACATTTTTTTTTAGGAACTGAGTGTCATCATCTTTCGCTGAAGTTGCAAGGTCTCAAATAATTTTGACCCATTTACAGTGGTGGATGGAAGGCTTTCCTTTTATTTATTTTCCTCCTGTTTGCAGAAGGGTGAAGACTTGTTCCTTGCATTCTCCTCATCCTTCCCTTTGCAAAAGATCAGAGGGTGCCTCTCAAACGACATTGTCCCTTGCTTTGCAATGCTGAGAGAAATATGCAGTCCTGAAGAGCAAAGGACGGAGAGAGGAGGCTATGGGAGTTTTCTTCTTCCATGCCAATCCAGTTGGAGCAGAAGGGACTGAGCTTCCCTCATTTGAAAAGTTACTCCAGGTGTTGCCTGTTCTGCCCTGCAGGGACCTGGCAGCCCCTGCCTGGACAGAAGATCTTTGGGTCTAATCCAGTGGATATGAGTGGGCTCTGTGACATACTGTAGATTACAGAGTTAGCATCCAGCATCCAATGTTCACATCCAGCTTTCTCCAATGTCAGTTTACGTTATAAAAAGAGCTTCTTATGACTTGGATCCTGTACAGAATGTTGATGCTTAAATCATAGCTGAAGAAATAGCCATATGGACAGATTGCAACAAAGCTGCAGTGCCTCATTTTTAACATGAAAATGTAACTTTTTGGTGGTAGGGATCTCCCCCCACTCCTTCCCTGAGAGCTAATCTTGTTCTCTATGTAGTTTTATTAATATGTAATGCTAAAATCATGCTTTCATAAAGTGAGTCATGGCTTAAAACAGTGTTTTAATGGAATGAACAAGCAAAAAGGAATTAAATTCTTGCAGTAGCAATCCCTAAAATACTGTGGGCTTTGAAAGGGTGAAGTCTTGAAACAGGAAGGAAGTAGCGACAGCCAGACTTAGGCTGAGGAGACTTGTTAGTGGAATTCCTTAAAGGGTATGTTTGCAAAAGATTTCATGGGTTTTAAAAAATTACTCCTGTAGTTATTCGCTGCTGTTCCCCAGCAGGCTGAGGGCTTCTGCCCTTCCCGCCGAGCAGCAAGATGCTGTGTCAAAGCATGTGGTGCTCCTTGTGCAGCTGTAAGCGAATCTGAATCAGTTTGTCCCTTGCCTGGACAAGCCAAACTAGCTTTGCTTGGAAAAACTTTGAGTGCTCGGATCACCTTTCGCAGCCTCTCAGTGCGAGGGTGTGGAAAACCTGTGTTGAAAAGCTGAAACAAGCTATGAGGCGAGCACAGTGCTTTCCAAAGTCATCCCGTGATCATAGTCATTTACACCGTATTTGAACTTCACATTTCCTTGCTTCAAAGAAGTGATACATGTAACAAATACCTTTTTAGATGACTTCTACAGATTTGCTGAGTTGCATCCACACTTTGCAGAAGACTATCTGCACTCCGAGCCAGTGGGAGATGGCAGCGGTTTGGAGACTTCATCTCTTCCTGCTCCTAATGGCATCTGTACTGACTTCAGCCCTGAAAATGTTGAGGAGAAAAGGCAGTTCCTGCAGAAGAAACTGAATTAATACAACAACTGTTACCTTCCTCTCCTGGTGAGAGGATTGTCTTTCCTTGGGATTTTCATAAGTCACTCCAACTCTACAGCAAATACCAGTTTTGTGTGTGGAAGTTCTCCCATAATACCATTCTTTGATTCATATGTGCTATATTTATTAGTATGTTCCAAGTTACTTTGAGGAAGGTGATTTTATTTTTTTTCAAAAAGTCTTTGAAAGGCAAGAATGTGAATGTGCTTCATTATTAATGTTCATATTTAAGAGGAAGCGACACACTTATTTATATTTTATTGGCTAGTTCCATGTACAAAGTGTCGCACAAACTGTGCATGTATAAAGAAACTGTAGCTACTATGGTGTTAAGTGCACTTTGGTGATTAGTGTTTTCCCTAGTTACAGGGATATCTTGGGGCCAAATTGACTGTCCATATCTGCACAGTTCAGCCTGTTGATGCAGTGGGGTTGCAACAAGGCAAGCACATTTTTGGCCATCTGTTTTGGTTTCAATGAAAGAAAAATCAGTTCCAAAACAATAATGGAAAAAAAATGCTAAGGATTCCTTGCTTTTTAAATTTATTGTTAAGTAATAAAATTGTTTCTCTTTCAATCCACTCCATGGTAGAATGAAAAGGAAAGGCGCTCTTCCTTCTCCTCCCCCATCACCAACACTTTTTCTACTGTAATCTTGCAGATACAATTAAATTTGATCTCTTTTTCCAAACCGACATATCACATGTTATTTGCAAACGCATGGCAAAAGTTTCTGTGCTTTTCTTTTAAAACGGGATTCAAATCATGTCCACCTAGCATTTAAATGGGAGACTTGTCAACAATTATATTTAAAGTCATCAGTGTGTTTTTTGTTGTGTTTTTGTGAGCGTTTTTTTGGTGTGGGGGTTTTGTGTGTGTAGCTTTGTTTTTGTAGCAAGTCTGTAGCATGGAAGGCACTGTAAAAACTTAGTTGTATCAGCACAAATTTGAAAAGGTTGCAGTTACTCCCAAAGCAAAGTGAGCAAAAAGTTGCAGACCATCTCAGTGGTAGTTAAAATGCTAGAGCAACATTAGATATGCTGTGTATGCCATAGATGTAATTTGATTTATTTTAGAACTCTTTAAAAAGAAATTTAAAAGTGTTTCTACTAGGGACATGTCTTATCTTTCCTCTCTTAAAGCTAGATGCCTTAATTAGCTCTGAGAGAAATAGAAATTTTCAAAAAACATGGAGCCACATGTGTTAGGAAACATGAAAAAAGCCTCCAAGAGTAGGAAGGTGGCTCTGTCACAAAGCAGCTGTGATGGCAACTCTACTTGTGAACACCACTACCACCAACTTCCTTTTTGATCATTTTGTGACTAACCCCACAGAGGCCACATTCCAATCGCCAAAGTATCATTTTAAACCTGCCATTGAGATCTAGGTCTTCCCCATTTGAGTATAACGTTATGTTGGAAAAGGAAGAATTTTAGCAGAAGGAAATCTGTTTATACCAAATGTGGGGATGGGATTTCTGGGTGCTTTTATTTGGTTGTTTTTTTGTTTGTTTGTTTGTTTTGTTTTGCTTTTAAATAGCAGAAGGTTTTTGAAACTCATTAGGCTATTGGAATGTGTCTTTGGAAACCTGTAGCTGCATGTGGCAAGTTTCCAAACTGGGAAAAAATGATTTTAATAGGTGTTGGGGAAACAAAAGCTTTCTATCGAATTATTCAGATGTATGCCCTCATTTGGAGGTAAGAGTTAATCTTTTGATTTATCTAAGTAATGCATGCCAAGCTAGAAGGCTACAGCAGATTGGCAGGCAGGATTCAAACTTAAAAACAGTCTTTAAAGCTTAGAAAATGAGATGTATGTCTGCTTATGCAATACAGGAGCGAACATCCATAGGACAGGGAGGATGCAGTGTGTTACACACTGAGGACAGTTAACTTGCTGCTGCAACAAAGATGGTCATGATAGGGGGATGCATAAAGTGCTGTCCATGTGATACTTTTGGGTTCATATAAGTACCTATCCATGTTGGGGCACTTTAGATAGATGGGGAGAATTTTCTGGACTCCAGAGGGCAGAAAGTACACAGAAAAATTTAAAGAAATCTTTAAACAAAGATGAGGAAACTAAGGGAAAGTAGTCTTCAAATATGGAAAAAAAAATGCTTTACAGAAAAGTAGAGCAGTTTTTTTTCCTACATGTTCTTAGTAGATACAGACAATTCATTTAAAAGACAAGTAAAGCATTAGGACAATGTGCAGCACACCCAGTTAAACTTTGCAGCAGGTTGTCCAGCTGGGCTGAGGAGGCTCCTCTCACCAGCGATTCTGAACACAGGGCAGACAGGCAGCTAAGGCAGAGACGCTCCTGATTTTGCAAATGATGCCCTGGTGTAGTACGAGTAAGTCTTCTGAAGTTTACTTTCAGATTATTAGTTATTTTGTAAAGTATATACTGTGATATGCAAGGGAAGGGACATGGACTGTAGTTCTGGCATCGCATGGAACCTGTAAGCTCTTAGGAAACTCCACTGTGAGCTGAGACAGCCATCTGTAGGACAGGCAGCTTTTGCTGTGAACCTGGGGAGCTGAGGATTTCAAAGTGCAGGAGAGAGAGCCCTTAAACAAACCTTAAACAAACTTGACATCAAGTGGTGGAGATGCTTTAAAAATCCTTGCATGAGCTTTATTCACAGAGCTGAACTCGTGTGGGAGCTGCAGTGCTGAGGAAGTCCAAGTGATGAGCGCTGCACTTGCTTGGTGAACAGGCAGTCAGGCAGAGGGACCATTTATAAAACCTGGAGATTCTGTAGTGACTGGCAGCATTCACTCTTTTTTGAGGTGACTGATGCAAGTAGGGAAATAATGTGGTAAATATCAGGATGAAGACCTGATCAGCCTCTCTGGAAACATTCAGTGTCACAAAGAAGTTAATAAATATACTACAGATGCTGAAATTCCTTGGACTGTATCAGGCTACAATGGTAAACTGCCTTGTAGTGACAGAAAACTCCACTACTCTTGGGTATTGACCTCAGAGTTTATTGACAGCTGAGGCCAGTAACACATGGCATTAATGCAACATTAATGCTTCTCCTGTCTGTTAGAAGTCACACCCAGACTGCAGAAATGCTGTTCCACATAGCCAACCTTCTTATAAGGTGTTAGGCTATGGAAAAACTAGATTGTGAGGCACTAAGTTTCAGCATCTTGCTGGGCTGCAAGAACAGATGTGAGAAAGCCGGACAGCTTCTTTGCCCCTCCATCAAACACTGGAGGGTAAGTTCTTTCAATCAGTGCTTTTACACAAGCGACATCTTATTTTAACTGGTGACAGCAGCAGCCCATAAATTTACAGCAAGACACACAAAGAAATGACTTCACTTCCTCACAGCAGTTTCACTTAATAGTCCTTATATAAAAATGCAGTGGTGTGAAGACTTTTGACAGTAGTCTCTCGTCAGCTGGTAGTGATAAACGTTTGGCTACTTTGATGTATTAACTGCTGTCCCTTGTTATAATGCTCTTACAACAGCCTGCATTTTATCACTTGTGTGAGAGACTCAATGAAACCTTTGTTATTCTGATATAATATAAAAAATGCTGAATTTTTCAAGGAATATGAACACCAAGATCCACAAAACTTTGGAAATACAAGATAACTAAGAAGTGTTGTCTTGCCTTATTTATCTTTCTTCAAAAAAATACAAAATCATTAAAATAAGGAAAACCATATTTAAAAGGTTCCAAGCATGTCTGAACAACTGTTTTCACCATTCTCCGAGTGCAGTGATGGAGGCAGTTGGAAAAGTTAGAATAAACAATTTAAAGCCTTAATAAAGGAACTAGGTGTTATGCTTGATTTTATACCAGTAAAGTTCACTGATACATGACAATGCATTTGTTTCACTCAGAATCCTCTTACTGTGTCAGAAGACAACAGTATTTAGTCCCACATGAAGGTTTAAATCCTTAGGTGACAAAGTTTATTTGAAATCCAGACATTTGTGTAGTAGGAAGCAATGCAACCTCTTCAGGAGCAAAGCCATAGGAAATAAATAACAACAGGTTTTCTTCATACCCGTTTGGGAGTATTTTTATGTGGTCCGAACAGGTTTGTTAACTAGTTCAAGCATAGAGCTGCATGGGAAGCATGTTGTTTTATTCGTAATATTATGTAGTAAATATTTGTGTTTTTTTTTTCCTGGAAACAAGTTATTGTACTTCAACATTTTAATAGTTTGAGAAATTTTCTGAATGCTGTGTATTTTCATTGCTAATGAGTTTCCTTCTATCTTTGATTTTATCGTTAAATGTTTTTTTCTTACCTTATATCATTGCAAGGAAATAGTGTTTCGCAGTATTTAACTCCTGATTCTTCTTTCCACTCCTTCAAAAGGGCTTAACAGGCATCGCAGAAATAGCGGGGTGTGCTATAGATGTGTGCCATGGACTCATAGACCATATAAACACAGTTTTGCAATCATTATGGGACTTTAACTAGTATAGGGTAAACTCATTCCTGATTATTTTGGCCAAGTCAGATTAGTTTGCCTCTGGGTCAGTGTGGGTCCTGTGACCTTCTGAAATGCAGCACTGTTGCTCTGTGTTGAGCTGGAAGCCTCTGCTGGGTTCTGCCAGCGCTCCCAGGAGTGCTGTGGAATGAAGTCCAGAAATTACAAATACGCTGGTCAAGCATTTTGTATTAGCAAACTCGTATCACAGTACAGACCCTTCCTGTTAACTGAGCACGTCAGGTGGTCAGTTACTTAGGTGTCCGGCTAATATTTCAGCTAATTTTGAAAACGTTAATTGCCTATTCACTGTGACCTGATTCTTACCAAAAAGAGAGGAAGACTAGGTTCATCAGCTTGAAAAGGAAGGTAGGAATTTGTAACCAGTGCTGTGGTTTAAATAATCCAGCTAGTCTTCCAGGATTTGATTCACAGACAAACAGGAAGGCAGGTACAGATAAAACCACCTGTTCTTCAGTCAGGCTATGATTTCTTGAAAATACTTCAAGGTCCTGTATCTAGGTGACTGTTCAAGTCACAACAGCCAGTGATCATCTCCTATGAAAACCAGAAAAAAAATACACAGACGATGATGAAAACCTTGACAGGCATTGTTAAAGGTGAAATTCTCCAGCAGCACCTCCGAGGAACGAATACTATTGTTGTGTGCTATAACTAAGATGCAAAACAACAAATTAGTCACCTTTGATCAAGATGTGCATAATTGTGATAAAATAACAAGATAAAACCACACACACACACAAGAAATTCCCCAGCAATTATCTGTTAAATATGCTTGAACATGCATGTGAAGGCTTCCTGTTAGACCAGCTCATTGATGTAGTTGTGAGTTTCATTCCCAAGGAAACATTTTTTTTTAATTTTATTTTAAAATTTTAATTATTTAGCCTTTTGTGAATGAGTAGTGATTTGTTTTGTAGAGGATGGCTGCTTTTTC